TAGAAAACAACAACTTTGATGAAAAATTTTTATTAAATTTTTGAATCTAAATTTAGCTTCTTCCTAAATGCTTGTATTACTTAAAACGGCATTGTGCGAACATAATTTCAAAAAATAGTTCCAATCCAACGTCTATCTCAAGAGTAATTGATCTTTTAGTGAACAAAATTGCGTCAATCCGAGATTGGACGCGTTCAATCTCGGATCCGACATTCACCTAGGCCAATCTGAGATTGGACGTAATCTCAGTTTGGACGCTGACATATATATACATCGGTTCGTATACTTCAGTAGTCATATTATATTCAAAAAAAGAAGAAATAAAGTATAGAGAATGGCTTTCGACGATTTCAGAGTACAAAGAACGAGTCATGTGCTATACCGATAGAGAGTGCGAACAAATGTGCGACGTGGGAACTTATACAGCGTCTCGAAAATTCCCTAATGAACTCCGCTATAAATCAAAAATCCTTTTGTAGAAAGCAATCAGCTTTTTTTCCCAATTTTGAAGATGACAAACTTGAGTTTTTATTTTTCAGAAACCTTATCCTTAGAAAACTAACAATCCTTTTCATCTTCAAAAATTCTCGATAGAAATAAAATTTCCTATGCAAATCACTATTTCAATTCTTATTAGCACTTATGGTAGTGAAAAACAAATTTAAATCGAGAAGAAAAATGAAGATTGATTTGAATAAGGAATAGGGGGCTCATCGAACGCGATCAGTTAGGTGCTAATCTAAAACAGTCACCATCAATATGCCATGACAAATGTGTAGGATTTGCTCGTTGGAAAAAGTATCTTGTCATTTCAGAGCGACTATCAAGACGAATTAAAAAAATCTATTGAAAATACTATGGCTATGGATGGATTCGGATCCCAAAATTTTGAATCCGATGGGCTCTAGTGAAGAAAGCAAAAATTGTTTGTTGAGTTTTTCATAATATCTTTATCTTCATTTGATAAAAAAAAGACAAAAACTATATTTTTCCAAGTAAAGATAAAGACAAATCAAATGATTTTATTTAACAAGAGAAAAAAAAAACAGCGAAAAATTATTTATCTCCATTATTCTCTAATAAAGGATTATTATCTAATCGACCAATTTCATCTTCGAAATTAATCGGTAATTTAACATCAATAAATCCTACAAGTTCAAGTAAAGAATAAAGTACGACTTTAGATTGTTTTTGATAAATTGATAAACGTTGATTTAAATGTGCTAATTCAGATTTTTGTTGTTCATATTCAAAATTTAATTGATTTAATTTTTTTTGTGAAATTTCACGTGATGAAAATCGATTAATAACATTAAACATAGTTATATAATCTGATTGATGACGACGTTTTAATTTAGCTAATTTTAAATATTGTTTTCTTTCATTTAAATTTTCTTTTAATTGTTTTATTGATAAATTTAATTGAAATAATTTTTCTTCATTTAATAAAATTTCTTGATTTAAATTTTGCAGATTTAAATTTATTGATGAACGATATTCTAAATCATGTTCATTAAGACGTTGATAAAGATCATCTAATGATACTGCAGGTGATTCATCATCGTTTTGTGGATAACAAAATGAATGAAAACGTTCAGATAAATCAAATAAAAATAGATCTTCATCATGTTCTAATTTTTGTTTTTTACGTGGTGTGGCCATTTGATCTAAAACACCAAAACAAAAACGACTATTATTATTTACTACTTTAATGTATTGTTGTACGTCATGAAATAATATCGTTTAGATAAAATTGAAATCGTAATATGAATGAGTCACGATTATTATTCTACAAAAAACATAAATGATATGCTGATTGTTTCGGATTTTTGTAGTAGAAAAAATTATTCGCTTGGTAATTTCTTTAAATTTTACATCGATAAATAAGGATGTATATTTTTGTTTCTGAATGTTGACAACTTGTTTGAACAACAGAAAGAGAGAGAGCGAGAACAATTCGTTTATTGTCATTGGAGTGATATTCTCCAATGAAGTATTTAATAAAGTTTGTAAAAATTTGAAAACTTAATAGTTTAATAAGACGTCAGGTAAAAAAATTTAATTCTTGTTTTTTTTTCTCTGCATTAATTTATTCATTCTATCTATGGAATCTTTTCTTTTATTGTTACTAACTAAAAGCGCCATCTTTCAACAGTCTTTAATCTAAAGAGTTCGGTAATAAAAACTCTCGGTCTGCAGCAAATCACACTTACTTCATTTGACCTTAGGATTTTCTACTTTGACGAAACTTATTGAATGACATCTAAATTGCACACATGTTGAATCATAATAAACATTGTGAATTATGCTAGCCATTATTTTCCTTGCCAAATCTGAAGGGGTCTCGTGTGCCGCTTAGCAAGAATATATTAGATCAAAGGAAATATTCATTATCAAAAAAGCATTATTCTAACTTTTCATTTTCAGTAGTATTATAATTAATTCCCTAGTCGAACAATACGGCCACTAGCGATCTATTTATCCACCGTATCTTATCTTAAACCAAGCTGGTGCTCTACAACCGTGGTTAACGAGTATACATCCACATACAACGTAAGTACAATATCGTATGCAGTGCACTATTATGGGCTCCTATCGTACGTTTGTTCGCTCAACTGCTGATTGATTACTGATATAGCGCATATTATATGGAACGGACTACGGACGGTTTTCATCTTGTTCGAATCACACGGGGCATCTAGAATAACGATAGAGTATGGTCTGTATTCTTACCGTATTTTACACTAAAGAGTCGTACATAGTGAGATTACGGCTACAAGCCCAGATAGCTATAGCCATCATCCCGCATCATTATTGTTGCTGCTGGTATCGAATGAGAAATTATTTCTGTAGTAACTAATTGAAATTCTGAACTATGTATGTGATTCATCGTAAGATATGCGGAAAAGAAGCTTGATGGATAATAATTGAAAGTAATCTTTACACACACACGATGAATCTAGAAATTACATAATTAAAGTATTGAAAATGGTTGTTTATCTTTAATTTTTCCTAATCAATCTAAAATTGAAACAAACTGACATATATGCTGATCAAACGATAAAAATGGCTTTATGTGAGCTATTATGAGTGAAATCATTTTGAATGTGTAACTGTAGAAAAAAAAACGAAAAGCACGTATGACATATAATGAAACTAAATTTTACATATCACATAATATCGCTTTTATAGTTGTGAATGATGAGCGGATCCAATGAAGTATTACTCGCTTGTGATCACTCTTACATGTGAATGAACAAAAATTTTAAGCGATGAAACAAGAAGTTCAACCATCTGAGCTTATCAAAAGTCCTCTAGTCTTGGATAAAAACTTATATGCATGAAATATTTTTCAGCTGAAATGAAATGAAAAAGAAAGACTTGACAACCATAAGATGAACAAATGACTATGAGAAAAAAGATAAAGACACACGATTCACCATGTAGTCAATATACAAACAAATGACAACAAGAAAGAATAAGTTTTCTTTTAACTACTAGTGCTTGAATTTTTTGTATAAACAAATAATTAATATGTTATCAATTTGTCTTGATGATACACGTGTTCGTCTTTGAGTAAACGTCAATCCCGTTGAGCTACAGATTCTTTCCACAGAAACATTAGTCGTTGGTATGACATCTACTCTTCTGGCTACTATTCATCATACTGGCAAATCATCACAAGTTTTGTTACTAGACTAGAATGTCGTTGGGTCACGATCAATTGCATGACAAGGGTGTTTTGTGATATATATCAATGACTTTCTTGCTTAAGATACTCAAGAATTTCATGATGCACACAGTAATGGTGGATCCAGAGTTTCGGAAGGGAGTACGAATGCGACAAAATGCAGATTTTCCAATGAAAACCAATAGAAAAAAGCGCGAAGTTAAATATAAAAAGGAGTGCGGTCGTATACCGCTTTCCTCCCGAACCGCCCCTTTTCATTATAGCAAAGCAATCTTGACTGATGAAATTTCTTTGTAAAATTGAATGAATATTAAAACGACTATTCTCTTCCATGACCAACGCCATCTATGCAGGTTCAAATAAAAAATAGCGAAATTTAAATTATTTACAATGGGGAAAAACTTTGCTAACAAATATAATTAAATTGAAATTCTAAATCATTAAAATTAATTTCTAACACAAAACTGAACAAAGAAAAATTTTGTTTTTAATTTTTAATTTCCAATCAAATTAAAATATTTAGTCATATTCATTTTAATGTTGTCACAAATTCAACATTTAGCTCAAAAAGGTTTACAAGCTGGTTTCTTAAAATCTCTTGCATCAACTACAATAAATAATGATACACTTCCATTAATTTTTCATTATGGGCCATTTACTTCCAATCTTTTCTTTTATTTTCGTCATGAATGGATTCAATCATTCATACGAAATAGTTGTGGTCGTTATAATTTTCTTTGGCTTGATTCAATTAATCAAACAGATCAAACATCTAATATAACAATTGGTTGGCAAACAAACATTTCCAATAATAATACTCAACTACCATTAATACTTAAGCGTGAAAATCAAGAAAATAATGATTATCTTTGTATAAATTATATAAAACCTCATCATGATATTAATTTAAACCAATTAGCAAATGAACGAACATGTTTTTGGAAAAAATATTTTTCCAAACGTGAAAAACTTGAATGTATATCATCAAAACAAAATCAATTTAATATAAGCTATCGTCTTTCATCTGATATTGTACCATATGATTTAGAAACAATACAATCAAATAATGATACATCATTAAATTTATTATTAAATATCAATCATACATTAATAACATTATTAATTGATTCAGAAATGAAATGCTTACATCCATTATTAACAGCATATCAAATTAGAATAGAATCAACATTAAAAACAACAGAACTTTGTTTTTATTTATCTAAATTATTAACATCTAAATATCATTTACGTGTATTACATTTAATTAATAACGATGATAAAAATGATTTTATACCATTTCATATATTACTTAATGATGATACATTAAAGAATGGTCTTTGTAATGTATGGAATCGTGATACACAATTAAATGAACAGATACATGTAAAACAAGTTGCAAAACGTTTAGCAGATTATTTTAAAGCTCTAGAAGATTTTGTGTAAATCATAGATTTTTAGTTTTTGATTAAAGAAAAACTTATATTGATTTTCTAATCGATTCATATTGTATTTATTGGAATTAGACGTGAATGATCTAAGTTATTACTGTGTATTATTATATGGTTTACAAAAACAAAATTAGATTTCGGAAAGTTTGCCGACTCGGACATGATGTAATAAGACGAAACCGAATAGAGTGAAGAAGAAAACCTCCATTCACTAAAAACAATGGTTGTATTTTCATTCGTTTATCAAGTTTTGTAGCACTATGATAGGATATTGCAAACAGAAAAAAAAATAATATTTTAAAATTATCCGTTGAGTTTAAAATCAATATTTTTCTATTGATCAAATGCAATTATCATCAGTAGTGTTGTGCAGAACTTTTGCGCTGTCCGCTATATTTATTATTCAATGGATAGGGGACAGTCACATATTTCTTTCAGTGTGCGTATTGTGAAAAATACGTTCAACAGTATCGAATATATTTTAATGTTATCTTTACAGAAAATTGAATGAAAGATGAGATTTACTTGATTTAAATTTTCAAATACTTTGTATAACATTGATTTTTTCATAGCTTATATTATTGTACTTCAACCTAATTCATTCTTATTGTTATCAAGATTGAAACCTGAAAATTAGTATAAACTAATGAACGAAATTGTTTTACATGATGTGTAAAGTATGGTAAAATGCGCTGCCTGGGATCAATTTTGATCTACTCAGACTAATATTGAATCCATGATATAATTATCAAATAACTCTTAATTGAGCCTTTTATTTTGATGAATAATCTTGATTAGTTTCGTTCAACATTCAAATCATTACATAGTTGAATATACAGACAGTATTTATGTAGAATGATGTAATGATGCTTCGATACTAGGTGTTTCCGTATTTTTCAAATAATAATAATTTGAGCTTTATAGACGAATAAAAATTTTAATGAAATAAAAATATTATTATTTCCAACGAGGCATCTCAAGAGGAAGATTTTTGGGGTGAAGTAAAAACGAGAAAGGATTGTATATGTACCATTTTATTACCATATAAACAAAAATAAAGTAATAATGAATGACAAGAATTAATAACATGAGATTGTAAATAAGTCAAAATAATATATGACTAATTTTAAGTCCTAGATAAATTTTATTACTATAATTTACAGTGATATAGTCGACGTTTCCACAGTAGAAATAAAAAACCGATCATCATCTGCTTATTTTTAATGCTTTCTATCATCTACGTATGAGCATAATTTTCGAAAATTTTAATTAAACAATATCAGTGGTGTCGAACATTAAGGTTGAATTGAACTCAACTTTGAAGTTTCAATTTGTTTCTATATAATTTTTCAGTGCCTTTCCAATATTCTAAAAGAATTGTAAAACACTAGCGAGAACTCGTGCATAGTGCACGATCATTTGTTTTCATCACCCAGAGCAAGGCTTTCCAACGGTGAGGAAATTGTTAAATATGTACTTAGAGCCCTTGACTCTACTACTTTCATACAACTTATTTGTGCAGGTAGGCACATATGGACGATTGTAAGCTTGGAGGAAGGATGTAGGTGTATTGTGGCTGTTACTTCACAATCTCCAATACAACCGCAGCCTCATTCATCCACACGCCGATCCATACGCACATCTACTCTCACTAAGCAACACCCACTCATACTCTTTATCCCCACACTACACCCTCACCCCGTCATTCCCACACCATACCTCCACAATAAACTCCTTCACCGTGTCACCTTCACACCACATCTCCTCACTCCTTCATCCCCACATCACACCAACACCCATCAACTTTACTCATATCCTACACCAGTCCTCACTCCACCCACTCTCATTCCACCGCACCGTGATCTTCGATCCGACACAGACACAAATACACACGAAACATTATATATATTTATATAGATTGCGATCATTTTCTGATGGGTGGATGTAGGTGTGAGAGAATAGAAGATCCATACCTACATCCGCAATCACTCACAACCAAGATCGGATCTCAAATATATTTTAATGCAATAATAATGACGCAAGAGAATATGATTGGTTGCCACTGTCTGTTCTTGGTTGATTGCAGTAAGAGTGGTTTCAGTGTGCACGTGACATGTATATCAGCAGGTTTGAAAAAATATTGCGTTCATTTTTTTTGATTGCACATGTTTGTATGATTTCATCATGTGGATCCAGTCTTTGGCATCTCATCAAATTCTCTTTCTCTTCCAGGAGAAAACTTGGTTATCTGATATTGACCGTTGGTACGTTTTTTACAATACTAAAAAAACTGGATGAAATGGTTTCGTCTCATTCACGTGTGGCTTTGGTTTTTGAAACATTCTGTTTACATCTTATCACCAAACAGAAGAAAATAGGCTAATTATATAATTCAGTAAGTCCCAAAAGAATCTCGATAGTTTCTTGATTGTGAGAGAGCAACTCATTTCATGCTGTAGATTGATAGATTTTGATAATTATATTATTTAAAAAATATAATAAAAACCTTTCTAGAATACAATAAGGAATACAAGGATGTCTCTAAAGTAGTTCTCTACTTGAGCTCCTTTATTACTCTTGAATTAGAATAGATATCGTGAATAATCTTTTGACATTTGTGAAGGGCAGATATTGGCATTTTGTTTAAGATAAACGAAGATAGAATAACTACAAATGACTATCCAAGATTAAACATGAACTAGATCTGCCTATAATGTTTGATAATCAGAGATTTTGATGCAAGAACCACTGATTAAGGGTCATTCATAAAGGACATTCGCATAAGAGGAAGAGAAGTCATCTAAAAACTGAACAATGGAGTATTGTTATTGCACTTTCTGGTTATTTCTAGGTGAATAAGATAGGGATAGCAATCCAAAACGGTCAAAAATGTATCTTTCTCCTTCATGGATAACTCTTGATACATCGCGCACCTGGAAACAATTTGTGCTTAATCTTGAATAGTTCATTAGTAGTTTTGTTATGTTCGTTTATCTCAAACAAAATGTCAATATCTAGGCTTCAAAACTGTCAAAAGACTATTTATAATATCTATTCTAATTCAAGAGTAATAAAAGGTTTGAACTGGGGAGCTACTTTTCGGACACCCTGTAGAACGAAAAGGTGTTGATTAGCTATTTTCAAGCTTCACATGAACAACTTTGTTCGAAGATAGAATGATCTTCATCTAATTCAATTAATGTTTCTTCAATCACTATTTTTAAATCGTTTAAACTATCATCATATAGCCATGTGTTTTCATCAACTTGTATACATTCTAATGAATGTAGAAGTGATTTTTGAAGTTGATCATCTGTTATTGCTTTTTCATGTCCTTGAGAGAAAAAATTTTCTAAATATGGGAAATATCTTCGAAGTATATCGCGGAATGCTTCACTTAATTCACCCATTGCTTTTTTCCAATCAAAACGCTTAGTTTGAATTGTTTTGTAAACAAGCCATGCTGTTATTAAGAGTAGTATACCACCACCAATAGCCACTCCAGCAATTCCAGCTGTAGATAAAGTAAAGCTACAGGTTGCCAATGGAAGCACATGTGCTGTAGTAAGTCCAATGATAACACCGGCACTAAATATTGGTGTAATAATTGCAGTTGTCAGAAAGATTTTATATTTTACACTTAGTTTTGGATCTTTTTCAACGATCAATATCAAAATACTTTGTACATTTTGTGCCAGTCCCTCCGACCGAATCATTGCACTATGTAGTAAGCGTCGATAACGTTCATAATAATGTTTTCTTTTGTTAATATTTTCTTCGATGCAAGCGATTGAACAGTCAATTTTGGAATCCATTAATAAATCATCAATCATTATTTTTGTCGATTTTTTAAACTCCATTTGTATTCGTATTAGTCTTTCACCAATCTTTTTAGATGTTGTAATCAATTCTTGCTTTCGATGATTGTCAATTTTAGATGTGTTTTTCAAATCTTGAATAATATTTGTAATCAGTTTCAATGCTTCCGTTTGTGTGGCTGTTTCAGCATCTCGTAGGCAGCAAGAAGACACTAGGTCAATGAATAAAAGAGTAATAAAAGACGCAACAATGAATACTATTTGCATTCACTGATTAGAACGTGTGGGCATATATCTATGCCATCTAATTTGTATCAATAATGTTCTCATCGCATATAATATAGCTTTCGATGAAAAATCTTCTCAGAAACCTGCTTTGCATAAGATTCCGTTGGATTTTTCAGAAAACCTTATTCTAGTAGTAACTTAGTTATTAGATATAATATTTCATGAACCAATTTTTATTTTTCAAAACCTATTCATAACTGAAGTAATCTATTAAAGCAAATATATTTGCATAGCACAATAATGAGTTATCGTAGAACTCACAGTCTAACAGCTGTTTTGTCTCGTTCTTCATCTTTCAAAAAGAATCGTTTCACTACTTTTGATTCCAACTCACAATTGAATTGTTAGGTGTTTTCAAGGCGTCATAAAAATGACGAGATGTTTCATTCATATTTGTTAAGGAAGGTTATAATTGATTATTGTTCTAGTAAATCTCTTCCTGAATAATACTGTTATTGCTATTTGTGACGTTTCGGCAAGTCGATGCTGCCTTCTTCAGACTTTATTGATAGAAATGAATTAACATAGAGTTTAAATACAAATTAGAAAAAATGTACTCGAATACACTCTAGATTCTTCTTCCTTTTTCTATTCTTCTTTTTCTTTCGTTCTCTTGTGATTTTTGATAGTGGATCGGAAGAAGATGACAATATTACGTCACTTCTACCAGCTATCACCGTCTTGCCGACCCACTATCAAAAATCACAAGAGAACGAAAGAAAAAGAAGAATAGAAAAAGGAAGAAGAATCTAGAGTGTATTCGAGTACATTTTTTCTAATTTGTATTTATACTCTA